TTCGTCACTCACCATCAACAACAAAATTCGGATTTTCAGTCCAAACGTCAAGTCAGTTGTTCTATACGGATGGATCAGAAACTTGGCGGGTCACAAAGAATATTTTCAACAGCCTGTTGCACACCTTTATCAACAACTGTCTTCGCTCCATACTGAAGATCAGATGGCTGGAAAGAATCACAAACAAGAAACTATGGGAACAAACAAAACAAGAACCAATCGCCCAACAAATATGTAGGAGAAAGTGGAGATGGATTGGACACTCGCTGAGGAGGCCGCTGAGTGACATCGCGCGTCGAGTGGAAGCCGAAATGGAAGCGGTGAGTGGGACGTCCAAGGGTGACATGGAGGAGATCGTGTGAGGAGGAGATGAAACAGCATGGACTAACATGGATGCAGGGGAAAAGAACAGCAGAAGACAGAAGCAAGTGGAGACGTGCAGTTGAAGCCCTATGTTCCACTAGGAACCCAAGGGAACAATACAATAATAATGAGGATTTCCAAGAACTCATCGCCCAACAAATATGCAGAAGGAAATAGAGATGGATTGGCCATACACTGTGAAGGCCATTGAATGACACGAGACACCAGGCCGTAGAGTGAAACTCGAATGACAAGTCACAAGTTGAGAGTAAGATGGTGATATGGAAGAGATCATATCAAGAGGACATGAAGTTTGTGGGCAGTTGTAGGGCCAGCTTAAAAACGACTCCATAACACAGTGGGATATGGGGATGTTCTGCTGAAGCCCTGTTTCCCTCTATTGTAGTGGTGTGATACAGACAATGTGTTCTAACGGAATATTATTCCGACAATAAGAACTACTATATTTGATGGTGTTAACGTCTGAATACTATTCCCACAGTTCATTAGTGCATTAGCAACATAATTCTGTATATGTATTTGAACATTCTATTTCATGTCGTTTAATGTAAACCAAAAATCACACGCTCAATGATTGGTTAAAGAATATAAACTGTATATATAAACAGCAGTTTGCTCAATGGAAAAGATACCTTTGCTTCCGTGTCTTGCCTTCTGCTGCTACACTGCCACTGCTAATAATAATGCTGATACCGTTTCAACAATAGGGCCTATCCTTTTAGAACATGTAATGTAAACAGTTCTGTTGATTACTAAATCTAGGAATTTCAACGTAACTTCAACTGATCGTGAGAACGAATCTATCACGAATAATAAAGTCGAATCGAGTTTTGATTTTGCGTATCTTTAATTCATGTAAGGTAGATAATTTAGTAAAAAAAAATGCTATTTATGTTTCCAACTTATTCAGAACTCTCAGACTCTAACAATGATTCTTTCTACACGTCTGCATTTAAGTGACTAACAAAGTATTCCCTAACGTCTCACATATGTTCGTCTGTCTTGAGTAAACTCTTTTTGAAATCATTTTGGCGAAATTAAACAACAGCCCCCCAGAAATGTGAAAGCTCTAATGACTTTGAACGCTTGCTAGTCGTTGGCTAACGACACCTGTCATTATTGTAGCACAAATATGAACGCTATTCACCAACTAAGGAGCAAATTTCACACAGATCACGTTTTTAAGTACTGTTTGGACAATTTATTAATAGCTCGTTAGGGTTAGGATTACGGTTCGGGTAAGGGCTTTAATTAAGGTTAGGGTTATGATTAGGGATAGATTTAGAGTTGGTATTATTTGTTTTAATTTGTTTCATTATCCACATTTTCCTGGTAAGTAGCCGTCCATCCTCTTACTGTAAACGAAAGTAATTCAATCGAGGTCTTTTCGGGAAGACTGTGAAACAGGTTAAGAGCGATAAATGGGTCAGAAAAGGAAGCTCACCTTAAGTCACCTCGGTGAATACATGTGCAGAAATTGGTCCAGCTTAAAAACCAGTTTTTAGCTGAGACTGCTCACTATAACTGAGACGTATTTTTAAGTCATGTCATGTCCACTTCCAGAACTTTAGACATTCTGGAATAACGCAACTCTTACTCCTACGATTCCTTAACTCTTGCATCGTGCGTATTATTCTCTATTGTTCCCCCTTAGTTTTTCCAGGGCTACTGAAGAAAGACTTTATCTTATTACGTAGGATGTTAAAGGTTGTCAGCAGGGTAAGCAACGTGCCACTTAACCAGCTTGTTAATATTCTGGTTGACAGGCACATCGACTCATGTGAAAAATGGGCTAAGTCCAAAATGGTTAAGATTTTATTTTGATAAATCACACAGTGTTGTACAGTTATATTAACTGATGACATCTCGAACACAAACTATTGCTCATAATCATATCAAGTTGATATGATTATGAGCAATAGTTTGTGTTCGAGATGTCATCAGTTAATATAACTGTACAACACTGTGTGATTTATCAAAATAAAATCTTATCCATTATGGAGTTATACTCTACCACAGTGCCCAAGTTTTATACTTATATGGGCTAAGTCCGTTTTATCTAACTCACACCACCCTCTTCATTCACAACTCTTCCCTTGTATCTCATCAGGCAGAATCAGAAGCCTGTATAGAAAACAAATGCTCTAGCCAGCAAGTACAAAAACTCAACCATACCCTACTTAGCTCGTGTTCTGTGTGATAAAGAAAGCATTAGGCGTGATACCTATAACTTAGTAAATAGTCAGCTGAACAATTGGATCTCGTCTTCCCAGCTCATATAGTTTATAGGTACAATGTTTTCTTTCTTTCTTTTCCTCTTCCCTTTTTTCGTCGTTATGTGCTGCTTTGTTTCTCTCTTCCTTACAAACTCTATTTAAAACATTCTTCTTTGTTCTTTCACACTCTGTATATCTCGACCTTTTTGTTACCGCTTACGCCACTAAATATGCTAGCATCTACTTTTCTAACACCTTCAAGCATTCTGTTCAATTTTGGCTTTGCTACCGACATACTAATATGCTGTTGTCAAAAATAACCGAGATTACCCTTAATCCATATAGAATTTTATTTATTGTTAATCTACTAACTGGATGCAATACTGTGGTGAAATGCTGAGAATTCCATTCTGTATCACAAGTACTGTTTGGGAATAAAGCAAATTATTATTATTATCATTAAAGAGAAAGATACCCTGTTTAATGTGTTTTCATGCATTTTCTTGTAAATAAGCATCATTTTTATGCAAAGATCACTTATTTTTATGGTTGGTCGGCTCAAGACCACTCGTACGTTCGCATCCCTTGGGACGCCATTGTTTAACTTTGCCCTCATTTTATGTGAATTACACTTGGTACTCATTTATTTAGCTGGTATTCTGAAGGGATACATGAAATTCAGTCTGCTGATATGCAATGCTGTCATTTATTTCTAATTGATTTACAAGTTCTCAAGGCTTTCACTGTCTCTTATTCTGGTAGCTATTAATAATTAGGACTGAACTATCATTAGACAGTTTCTTCAGTCACATTTTGCACAGTCGAACTTATTTACATCTGCATAATTAATTATATACTGTAATTTGGTTGGTAATGCCTATTAGGAGAGTTTAAAGAGAGCACTTTTTCCTAATTGAGACATGTTAGCTGGGTTTGCCTGTACAGTGACAAGTGGAGTTTCTGCTGAGACTCCAACCTAGTATTAGGAGCCGGAGCCATGAGAGCTACCCCTTGTGCAATGCATCTCATCTGTTATCTGCTTAAGTTAATGTGAATTTCCCGTATAAATTTAATCAAACATATAAATAGCTACTGTTTACCCTGGATAGTGATTATATCTTATTGTTAAACGGGTTAGTTCACCATCTGAAAGATACCTTAGGCTTAGTGTTCGTCGTGTGTGATATACCTGCAGCCTCAAGCAAGCAAGTGCCGCCTCAGTCAGTCTGTCAGTCTCTAGGTGGACGCAGGTTTCTTGTTGGCTATTGGCAACAACCACAAAGCTTAGGTCTAAGAATATATACCCAGCTGCTTTAACTACTTAACGTCATTTCAGAGTGCAGTGTGGTGGCGAGTCACTTGGCTTGGTAACGGCAGTGCAAACTTAATTGTCAGAACTTTGTCAACACCAACACAAAAGACTAGATTCATTGCACTGATTACTTCGTGGTGACAAATCAATGCACCTGTGCCATACTGACTAAACCTGTTCGTTAAAGTATCAAGGTAACATCCTTTAGAAAATATTCATTATAAGTTAACATTTTTTTTAATTTTCTGTCAGAGGTCTTCTGTACTTCAGTGTGTCAATATTATTATCGAATTGTTGACATTTCATTTATTAAGAATTTCTAAGAATTAGTTTGGTTACTGACAGTAATTTCGCTGATACCACTACCAAAATTCGAAGAACTCTAATCATTAGGTTTAAACTCGCTCTACGTACACATTTGTGGCAATTTACAGTATTTCTCAGGTAACAAGGATATTATTGTAAGTGTGATGATTTTTTTTAAATATTGAAACAAGATTTGAACTATCTTTTATATTTGGTTGGTAAGGATTAGATTTGTTTTTACGAGTTTGGCCACGGATTGATATCAGTTAGAGAACCATTGAAAACCAAGGAGTACTGGACAGCTGTTTCATCCTAGTTTGGGAATCATCGGCGGTACGCACCCACTGGGGTTGGGACTGAGGACCTACCGGCTACAAGGCAAGCTTTTATACCATTCGGCCATTGAACCGGGTCCCAGTGGCTGAATGGTATACGAGCTTGCCTTGTAACCAGAAATTCCTGGGTTCGAACCCCAGTGGGTGCGTACCGCGGATTATTTAAACTATCATTATAATTTGGGTTTAATTTTATTCTCTCTGTGTGTATGTGTTCACGAAAGATTCAGACTGTTTTTTAACCAGCTTAGAAAAAATTACCAACTGACAGTGTATGAAGAAAATTACATCTTGGTTTTTTGGAAGCATGATTAACTAAACAAACTATTATCGTCATAATGATTTTTTGCTTTTTTAAACAGAGACACATCTTATAAGTTTATGTTAGTCTATTAACATGTAAATGCATTAATAATGAAGTTGTGATTAAAAAAGAAAATTTGATTGGACGTGAATTTAACCTGGATAGGTTGAAAATTTATCGACCTAATATGTAGCTATACGAAAATATTAAAACAGTTAAGTTAATTAATTCATGCTTATTATAATAATTAGACAGCGCTTCTAAATGCCTGAAACTACTGGAATAATTAAAAAATCATGTTGCATATCAAAACGGCTGGATGGAAAGTTGGCTATTGTCACTGGTGCCAGCTCAGGAATTGGTTTGGTAACGGCTGGGGAATTAGCACGTCGTGGTGCTAAGGTAATCATGGGGTGCAGGAACATATCGAAAGCTAAAGGTGCGAAAAAGCTGTTGTTGGACAAATATGGTGTTAACAATCCAGACAGCGTGAATATTGATATAGCGTGTAAAGATGTGATTCAGTCATTGAAACCAATTCAAAATGAACAAGTGAGTTTAGTTTTCAAAAAAAGCATGTTGTTTCTATGTTCTTTTGTCTGAAAGATTTACGGATTATCCTGCTGAACTACGGTGGTGGTATTTGAATTTTTGAAAATTTTTATTTAAGGTACGCATATAGCATTGTATTGAGTTAATATTTTAAGCTTGTTGTGGCACATAACCCAATAGAATCCTTAAAAAGCCTAGTATACAGGTCAGAGGAGCGAAGACAGCTGTTGATAAAGGTCTGCAACAGGCTGTTGAAAATATTCTTTGTGACCCGCCAAGTTTCTGATCCGTATAGCAAAACTGACTTGACGTTTGTATTGAAAATCCGAATTTTGTTGTTGATGTTGAGTGACGAAGATTTCCAGATTGGTTTCAGGTTGATGAATGTGTTTCTTGCCTTTCCGATTCTCGATTTGACATCTTCGTCCGTTCCTCCTGTAGTTGAGACAAGGCTCCCGAGATAAGTGAATGAAGTAACCTCTTTCAAATCCCTCCCGTTGATGGTGATTGGCGCTGGATGTTGCTGTAGTTCAACCTATTAGACCTCTAATGAAGCACAGTAACAGGCTACAGAGAAGAATTACCGTTGCTTGAAACAATAAAGTCTAAAGACAAAAAACGATAACAGAAAAATATCTCCTCACATTTAGAATTGCATTAGAAGAATAAAAATGATACCTAAACGACCGTAATCGTTATTGTGAATATACAATTGAAACTTATAGTATCAGTATATAGTGTACTATGTTTTCAGACGTCCCCCTGTTTCATATTCTAGTTGACTTTCATAAAATTGAGATTAATAATGATATGAGGATTTCATCAGAAACTGATCCCAATTTAGAGAACCCTTACAAACTATGGAGCATTGTACTGCTGATTTGTTCTATCGGTGTTCATCTACAAACCAACAACACATGTCAAAGCTAGAATCTTCTTGTCACAAAGAGGGTAAGGTGAACTTCTAGTTAAAGTTCAAAAGTACATGATTTCTACCACTATCATCATCCAGTGGTTTCAATTAGTTATTCATTAATTTCATGATTGCTGTAATAAGATGCTTAGGAAATAATTAGATATCACTATTCTGTATAAAATTTAATTGATATTACAACTTTTAGTGTAAGAATTTAAAATGTGGTATCTTAATAGAAATTTAAGTGTCTTGGATAAAACTGAGAGGCAAACATGCATTCAGTAGTACATTCAAACCCTAAGTTTGACTTTGTGAATGATTTCACCGAGATTTCAGTTAAAGTTACTTAGATTTTCAGCATTAAACTACTTTGCGTCATCTTGAAACAAATCAGTTGTGTGCGTGTGACTGTGAGTCATTAACTGTTTTATTTCTAAAGGAATCTCTAGTTTTCACCTGATGCATGAAAAGCCTCATAGACACGTGAACAAATCTGGAGAACAAGGAGAGCTAAGAATAATAAAAAAAGAGAGAGCTGTAACGAACTCATGGAGTATTATAAGTTGTCTGTACACAGAGGCGTAACAAAGTAATCTGAAAGAAGTGTGTTGCAAAAGTTGTCACAAAAAGTAAAATGGGCACTTAACCTTAAGTATTCAAGAAATCGATGTTTATTTTTGCCAATAGATAGATTATTTCCGCAATAAGATGCGAATTCTCTAAACTTGTAGATGAAAAAACATCGGGTACAGTTAACAGACATGAACAGTTGTAATGTATTATTATTATTGTTCCCTTGGGTTCCTAGTGGGACACTTGCTTCTGTCTTCTCCTGTACTTCTCACCTGCATCCATGTTAGTCCATACTGTTTCAACTCTTCTTCACACGATTTCCTCCATGTCACCCACTCTTGGACGTCCCACTCACCGCTTCCCTTTCGGGTTCCACTCGACGCGCGATGTCACTCAGCAGCCTCCTCAGCGAGAGTCCAATCCATCTCCACTTTCTCTTCCATATTTGTTGGGCGATTGGCTCTTGTTTTGTTTGTTCCCATAGTTTCTTGTTGGTGATTCTTTCCAAGCATCTGATCTTCAGTATAGAGCGAAGACAGTTGTTGATAAAGGTGTGCAACAGGCTGTTGGAAATATTCTTTGTGACCCGCCAAGTTTCTGATCCATCCGTATAGAAGAACTGACTAACTTGACGTTTGTATTAAAAATCCGAATTTCGTTGTTAAATACAATAATAATGAGCTCAGCTCTATGGTAGGAGGGCATCACATACAGCGACGCAAATATGAATGTTGAAATGTGTTCTGTCAAGCTGAATATCACAGTTGCGAAAATAAGACACAGCTTTGGCACTTTTATCACTGGTGGACAATTTTTCATACCTGATAGGTTTTATTTATTAGATAGTTGGAGGCAATTGGCAGGAAGTTTTATTTATCTAAATATTTTATAAGATGATCTCAGAAAGTCACTGAATGAAGAAATCTCAACCGGTTAACATAGGAATTATTTAAGACACTTGAATTTCATATTTCATCTCAAAATACGATAAGCCTAATTATTAATTATAAGCCTAATTACTCACTTAATTTGTTTTCAATACATTATTTAGCTGATTATTGAAGAGCTTGATTTGGCCTCTATGCACTCAATCAAAATGTTTTGCAACCGAATAATCTCCAAATACACTAGGTTGGACTTCCTAATCAACAATGCCGGTCTCGTAGTTGGTAAATACGAGAAGACAGTCGATGGCTTTGAAATGACCATGGGAGTCAATTATTTAGGACATTTCCTGTTGACAGAATTATTGTTACCGCTGTTGAAGAAATCAGCTCCATCAAGAATAATCATTTTGTCCTCCGTGGTACACTATGCCGCTCGACTGAATAAACCAGATTTGCAGCTTCGTGAGAGTGAATACAGTGAAGTGAAAGCCTACAATCAGTCGAAACTAGCAAATGTGATGCACGCAGTTGAGTTGAGTGAGCGATTGCAGAATAGTGGAGTGACGGTGGTTAGTGTACATCCTGGTGTAGTGAAGACTGAATTAGATCGAGATATTAAAGGCATTGGAATGGTAAGAGTTCGTTAGAAAATTTTAAAAAACTTGTGATTTAATTTCGTAAGTTATTTTTAATTTTTGAGGAGACAGTTTGTTGAACTTTATGTATGGAGAATGTGAATTCAACATCATCACTAGCAATGCTACTTGTGATATGATTTCCAAACTCCATTTCACCTTCAGAGACAAGCTGCATGCCAAAACGTTGAGTAATAGCTGAATAGAGTATGCTATTAGCTATATAAAATGGTCACTTCATTTATGCAAAAGTTAGAATCAGTATGGTGGATTTATTGCTGATTAGCACTGTTTACTCTGAGGAACAATACTTTCCAATAAGTATCTGGCCACTCATGTCTATAGACGAACTTGTACATCATAGCTGAACTGTTTGTCGATTAGCTTTACATAAAATTTCAACTTTCTGTTCCAAAAATGGGTACAGCATTCGCTTTACTTAATCACTTTCAGTTTCCATCATATTTGATTCGTTTTGGTCACCCAATATTTATCAGTCATTTTAAAGTTCCTTTGTTCTAAAAATATACATCCCGACTAAGACCTTTGAAATTTCTTCAGAATTAATCAATTTCACACGTGGTTTTACTGAATCAATGCTCTTTTTTGAAGAACATGTGGTTTACGCAGTGGAAAGTTATGGAAAAAGCTTGTCTTAGCCTTCTAAGCACCTCGCTGTAAAATGAAATAACTCAATAATAAACCAGAAATAGTAAGCCTGTAGAAAACCGAATCCCCAAATTACAGAGTTACATGTAATTAGATTAAAAACAATGTCATGTTTTCGGAACATTTAACAGCGAGCAAAAACAGTTTTACTGTATTGTATATCCTAAAAACAAACTAATGTATGTGTAAAACTTGGGTACTGTGGTAGTGTGCAATTCCATATTAACCTGTTTATTAGATATATCACACAGTTAAACAGTGTTATCATTTGCTGGACTACGTTTCGAATACAATTCATTGTTCATAGTCATATTGGTTGTCACTACACAACTTCGAAGCTTTCGTTTTATAGATTTCTTTATTCTTTCCTATTCGTCACAGGAGTAGACAAATATTCTATATGTTTGGAACAGGTTGAAACATTCTTATTACATGTATTTGCAGTTGATTCGATAAATAAAGCTTTAGTTATCAATCTTTTCCTCCAGCCTGTTACATGAGATCTTAGAAAACTGTCATCTTATAACATTCTGTTGTATGGTTGTCTGTAACTGCATGTAGTTCTATGGCTGAACTATTTTTCAGATTTCTTATCTTATTAAGGTCAACTAATCTAGAATTTAGGTAAGCTTTTGTGCTCCTCTAGTCTAACTGACCCCGTTCTGCTACTTTGTCCTATGTATTTGACCTGACAATCATGAAGGGTATTAGATAAAAGAATTGTTTTGTTTTAACGGCTCCACAGGCAGGATACTTTAACCGACAAAGCTTATTTCTAATTGAGTTTGTGGTTGGTTTGAATGCCAGCCACTGTTATTCCTTCCTGCATTGTTAACAATTCCACCTAAGGTTTCCGAGGTTCTTTCTTTGTATGGAAGTAACTACTACTAGTGATTTAAATTCCTTATTTTTGTGGCTGTCCTAGACATTTAGAATGTTCTACTACTCCTACGACGAATGAAAAGGAATAAAGAAAACTATGAAGTTTCAACTATCAAGTTTTGAAGTTGTGTAGTTAAAACTGATATGATTGATATAAGATTTAATAGTGTGGAATATTCCCATATCATGGATTAAAAGTCAGTCTGAACGAAGAATATTCTTTTCAGTAATTTCTCTTCAGATTCTTACAATTATAAAATACAATATTTGTTGTCACTACAATAATGATAGCCAGTTATACGGCGGATACATTTTTAACGTAGAATAACATATTAGTTGTGGGGTGTCAAAATAAATAGTGTTATTTGTGTGACAAACGTGCTCTGGGCTGAAATCGATTACAAAATATTGTAAAATGGGAGACAATGGTAGTGATTAATCATGACAGATTTGTAGAGTATGGGGTAGGAAAATTGACAAGTCAGTTCAAGGTTATAAAAGGTGTCAGGTATATCTCCTGTTTAACATAGACCACTTTGTACTAGCCACTCCCGTTTTACAATATTTTGTAATCGATTTCAGCCCAGAGCACGTTTGTCACACAAATACGACTATTTATTTTGACATACCCACAACTAATCTGTTATTCTACGTTAAAAATGTATCCGCCGATTAACTGGCTATCATTATTGTAACGACAACAAATATTGTAGTTTATAATTGTAAGAACCAGAAAAGAAATTATAGAAAAGAAAATTCTTCGTTCCGATTGACTTTTAATGGATATGATTTAAATTGGTATGATATAAATTGTGTTCAAAACGTCGTCCGGTAAATAATACTGTTTCACTGTTCCACTTGTCTGACATCGAGTTTTGGCTTTCAGGGATTCGATTGGTTACAGGTTTCATCGTGATTTCACATCAGTTAGAGAACTATTGTGATCAATTTTATAACAAATCAAATCCCTGCAAACCAACACTTGATATTTACTTATTTTTATTTATTTTATTATAGCTTGACTCCACACCGTATTTTTGATTATTATTGTATATTATTGTTTCCTTTAATTCCTAGAGGAGCACAGGGCTTCAGCCGTGCGTCTCCATTGCGTTCTGTTCGCTGCTAGAGTTTTCACCTGGCTCCAAGTCTGTCCACACGTTTTCATCTTCTCTTTATATGACCTCCTCCAAGTCACCCTTGCACTGACGACCAACTCGCCGCTTCCCATTCGGGTTCCACTCGAGCAATGGCTTGTCTAGTGATGTCACTTGATGGTTTCCTGAGAGTATGGCCAATCCATCTCCATTTCTTCCTGCCTATTTGTTTCATAATCGGTTCCTGGTTGGTTCGCTCCCAAAGATCCCAATCTGTTGCTAAGCTTTTCTGGCCGGCCATCTGATCTTGAGTGGTATTGAGCGAAAACAACTGTTAATGAAGGTTTGTAGTTTGTTTGAGATGCTCTTTGTGACGCACAGCGCAAGTCTCTGATCCGTATAGTAGCACTGACTTCACATTGGAGTTGAAAATCCGGATCTTATTTTTGATGCTGAGTGCTGTTGACCTCCACACAGACTTGAGAGTATTGAAAGCTTGTCTTGCTTTGATATCTTCGTCAGTTCCGCCTGTAGTTGAAACGATACTTCCCACGTAGGTAGGTAAAGGAGGTTGTTTCTTTCAGGTTCCTCCCATTTATGCTGATTGTTGTCTGTTGTTGTTGTTGCTGTTGGTGGTGTTGCCCAGGAATCTTCATCACCTCTGTTTTCTCTATGTTCACGTGAAGGAAGGCCTATCTTTGATGCTTCTTCTGCCAACTTGTTGCTTTTTGCTTGCATGTCTTCCAGTTTGTGGGAAATCAAACATATATCATCGGTGAAATCCAGATCCTTCAAGTTTTTTATATGAGTCCATTTTATGCCTGTTTCTTTATTTTTAATTTTTATTTTGATTACAGCTTGATTCCACACCGTATTTTCAGTACAAGTATGGAATTTTCAGCATGCATATCGGTAGCCCAAATTTTGCAGGCAGATCAATGACACCAAGTGTGCATTGGTCGGGGATCGAACCCCGCATCATGTGCATGGTCGGCGAGTATCCTAACCGCTATACCAGCGATGCTGACTATTGACTGGCTCTCTACAATAGGTTACCTGCAGCTCTAAGGAAAAGTTATAACCAGCAGGGTTTATAAAGTCAGGTAGGAGAACAGTTACATCCTCGTGATATTGGCTGGTGGTCGCGCTGTATACATATATCACCGACTGGCAGAAGTTGTAATTCATAGGCCGGTAGCTGGACTGTTTACGAACCCGCCTTGTAACCAGAAGGTCCTTGGTTTGAATCCTGGTGAGTAAGTACTGCTGAAGAGTCTAAAGATAGGTTAAAACAGTTGTCCAGTAGCCCCAGGTTTTCCAGTGTTTTTCTAACTTATGTCCACCCGTGATTACACATGTATCTAATAAACAAATTAATATGAAACAAACTAATATGGAAATTCATACTGTCTCGATGCTTAGATTTTTACTTCGATTTTATCAGTAATATATATTATTACTATTTGTATACACTTTACTTCTTACTAATTTTCAATTATCATTCTTCTTTATCAAGAAAGTGCTCTTCACCTTAACGAAGCCTCTGTTCATCGGTCCTTGGAAAGGTGCACAAACCACATTATACACCGTCTTATCAGACAGGATAGTATCCGGTGGCTACTATTCAAATTGTGGATTTAAAGAACCTGCATGTAAGGTCAAAAACAAAAAGGAAAGGCAGTGGTTGTGGGACAGAAGTTGTGAACTATTGGGAATTCAAAATCATAGCAGCTGATGACATTTAAACAATGATAATTATTGTTATTGTTAATCATAGTTGTTTGACTAAATAACTTTTTTATGATTTTCATTATATGTTTCAAATAAATAAAAGCCAAGCTGAATGCATGCAATTTAATTTTCATTCGGTGTGCAGTGGATTTTAAATCTATCGGTGTGTAATGATCCCTTGATTTATGTGTGTGCAAGGTATTTAGACAAACTGTCAACTTTGCCTGACTGAATGTTTTGTTTCGTATGGTTAATTCTCTTGTAGGCGAAATATATCCACTTATTCATGAATAAGGAAAAGCACAGACTTGTTCAAAGAAGAAACGTTTCTTTTCACTGGCTTCATTTTTAAATTGTATAGGGGTATTAATATTAGGAAAGGCATTCGACAGCGTTGACCGCGAAGTTATTTGGAAACTACTCAGGTACTACGGCGTAACCCAACCTTATTCAACAGCTATACGACAACGCCACATATCAAGTAATTCACAACGGAAAACTCAGCGAAGCGTTTGGAGTAAACACAGGAGTCAGACAAGGGTGCTTATTATCACCAATGATATTCCTAATTGTGGTGGACTGGATTATGCGTCAGACAGTGGGAAACGAGAAGACAGGGATATCCTAGACCGACGTGAAGAACCTAGAAGACCTGGATTTCGCGCGTGGATGATTTATGTTTGATGTCACACAAAATCGAAGACTTACAAGCAAAAAGCGACAAACTGGTCGAAGAAGCAGCAAAGACAGGACTCCAGGTGAACATAGACAAGACGGAGGTTATGAAAATAACCAACCAACAACAACAACAGCAGCAACATCCAGCGCCAATCACCATCAACGGGAGGGATTTGAAAGAGGTTACTTCATTCACTTATCTAGGGAGCCTTGTCTCAACTACAGGAGGAACGGACGAAGATGTCAAATCGAGAATCGGAAAGGCAAGAAACACATTCATCAACCTGAAACCAATCTGGAAATCTTCGTCACTCAACTTAGCATCAACAACAAAATTCGGATTTTCAATACAAACGTCAAGTCAGTCAGTTCTTCTATACGGATGGATCAGAAACTTGGCGGGTCACAAAGAATATTTCCAACAGCCTGTTTCACACCTTTATCAACAACTGTCTTCGTTCTATACTGAAGATCAGATGGCCGGAAAGAATCACCAACAAGAAACTATGGGAACAAACAAAACAAGAACCAATCGCCCAACAAATATGCAGGAGAAAGTGGAGATGGATTGGATACTCGCTGAGGAGGCTGCTGAGTGACATTGCGCGTCAGGCCATAGCTCGAGTGGAACCCGAAGGGGAAGTGGCGAGTGGGACGTCCAAGGGTGACACGGAGGAGATCGTGTGGGGAGGAGCTGAAACAGTATGGAAAAACATGGATGCAGGTGAGAAGTACAGCAGAAGACAGAAGCCAGTGGAGACGTGCAGGTGAAGCCCTATTTTCCACTAGGAACCCAAGGGATCAATAATAATAATAATTTATATGAGGAAAAAAGGCATTAGGTGATTGCCTGTATAATTTTCAGATACATTGACTGAGAATTTCTCTGTGATATAAATTGTCTTTTGAAGGAACGAATGGCAACACTGGAAAATAGCCTAAACTAGTGTAACAACAGAAGGCAAGACAAGGGAGCAAAGGGTATATTTTTCATTAATCAAACCACTGTTTATACATCTACAGTTTATATTCGTTAACCAATCACTGAGCGTGTGATTTCGGTTTACATCAAACAACATGAAACAGAATGTTCAAATATACATAGTATTCTTTTGTTAATGCAGTATTTAACCGTGGGAAGTGTATTCTGACTCTAACATCAAATCGAATGTTCAAACAAGTATATTGTATGCAGTATTGAAATGTGAGAACATGTGAGCATAATATTCTGTTGACAGACATTGTCTGTATCACACGACCACACTAGTACATCTGAGTAAGAACATTAAGCTGCGTCATTTATATGTGCAGCTGAATTAAACACTGTGATTGGCTAATTCTTTGTTCACAATTAGCGTAAGCAAACTTGAAAGGGAGTAGGGCTTTGTTTTAATGCACTTATTAATTTAAAGTTAATTTAAACTTCAGTACGACGAATACGAAAAAGTGAAAAATACAAAGTTGGTGAAATGTATGAGTCGAAGGATGGCGCCTTAACATACACAGTATGTGAGGAATTAGAATCAAACTGGATGGAACAGGAGATCTTAAGTACGAAAAGACTGGATCAGCTCCTCTCTTAATCAGACTTAATATATATTCAAGCATATTTTATTGAAAGATTAAGAGATGCTTCAGAAGTATTTTATACTGCATAAGAAAACAACTCACCTAAAGACTAAAGAAGAGTGATTGATAGATAATGTTAAATAAAACAACAATAAAAACACATTTTGTTCACCAGAAGCTTAGGAACATGAATATTGAAAACTTATACTCTGACTGACTGCATCGAGTGGATTTTCGGATTCACGTACACTTCTTGGGACAAGACATAATTAGGATTATTATCGGCTTTTTCTGAATTTTGTGACTGACATGGTCAAATTCCAAAGTATAGAGACTAATGTGTTTAGTTACATAGACACAAAGTTCAGTTATGAGCAACGTGTATTCAAAATGAATTACATTGATTACTGATAAAGCATTTTCTAATACTAAGCATAAAATTAACAGTCTGGTTACGGGTTAAACCATGAATTGATATCAGTCAGAGAACCACTGAAAACCAGGGAGTACTGGACAGCTGTTTCATCCTAGTTTGGGACTCATCGCGAGTACGCGCCAGCTGGGTTTCGAACCCATGACCTGGTTACAAGGCGAGTTCCTATACCATTCAGTCACTGGGAGCCGATTCAATGGCCCATGAATTCTGACTTCTACGAATTTGCGATTTTAGCGCGACCACCGGCAGGAACTCCATCTTCACTCCCAACTGGATGAACCTCACTGGTCACGACCTCCCACTAGGACTCCAGGAAACTCCATCCTGTAGCCAGTCACCAGCGAGCAACATAATATCTAAATGATCAAACGGGATTATAAATTTGATACGTTATCTAGTGCAATTGGTGTAACTAAGTCTGATTTTGTGCACAAGGCAAATCATCTTACAGAGTGAACAGACCATCAGAGATTGGAAAGATATAAGGACACAAGTGATATGATGAAACTTCATGTTTCAGTAAAGAATGTGATTTTCAGCTGACATAAGGAAAAACTCAGCCATACTAGTAACCAAATCGGTTCGATAAAAATCAGTAGCCTGAAATTTCACTGTTATGTCAGCTACTGATAAGAATTTACAAGTAGTATATTGTATATGTGGTGTCTGTGAGAAGAATCTTGAATAACTGAGCGACGGAATGAGTTCTAAAATGGGGAATGAAAGATTCTTGTGAAATAATATAGAAAGCGTGAAAAGGAAACCAAAATGAGCATAATACAGTGAACCTGTGCAAATGGAATTTTTTTAGTGTAAGGTTTTTGTATATTGTCATCACTATGTATCATTTACACATGAACAATTCCTCCAACGAATATCACCAATTTCGCCAGCATACCACTTTTTTCTGATGATAATTAGCAGGAAAGATATATAAAAATTATCAAAATTATAATGTAAAGGGAGAGAAAATTGTTTCATCAAATATAACACTAATAAATAACAGTACACTTGTGTGTGGGGAACTACCTATGTTAGACTGCAAAATACAAAGAAGAACAGATGGTAGCATTAAAACGATGCTATATAGAAAAACCACACACTCTGGAATATTCCTTGATTATCAATCAGCTCATCGACTCACGGTGAAACGAGGATTAATACAAGGTCTTGCAGATAGAATACGTAGGCTTACAACAACGCCAGAGGACCAATGTAAAGAAATAAATGTCCTATTCAAAATGCTACTCGAAAACAACTACCCAAAACAATTTATAAAAGATTATATAAAAAAGAGAAAAAAGAGGGTAAAATCGGAGAATAACAAGATGGAAGAATGCAAAAAAATAGTCACAATACCATATAAAAATGGTACATCAGAGGCAATTCAAAGAAACCTCAAAAATATCTGTATTCGCACAACTTTTAAACCGACAAATCTAATCAAAAATAAAATAAATCAACTGAAAGATCCTATAAAGATGATGGATAAAAACAACTTGATTTACAAAATATCTTGTGCTAACTGTCCGACTAAATATGTGGGGCAAACGTCCAGATCACTCAAAATAAGAGTGAATGAACATAAACGCCTAACCAAAGGTCAACCAACAGGAACACAAGCCTACAAGAATCTTGAAAAAAATTCATCGATAGCTGCACATGCATGGGACAAAAACCACAATATCGACTGGGAAAATGTGTGTATTCTAAAAACTAACATGAAAAAGTGGAAAGAAAGACTTATAACAGAATCGATATTCATTAAAGTCACACCGGATACATGTAACAAGGGTGACTCAGTACAACTATCAACAACTTGGAATATAATTCTGAATACAAACACATGAATGAACGTGGAATACAACTCAAATACAAAAACATGGATTAGCAAAAATAATGAACTATATATATGAGTACAAATCATAAATGGAAGATTGTGACAGGTGACACTGATCAGCTGGTTCACTTTTGCAGTTCCACGCTATTTCATTAAAATTACAGCTCACTTAGGATATTAGCTATTTAATAAGAAATATAATGAAAAAATTTGTTGCAGCAAATTGTTTATCCTGAAAATCTGTTAAAGAATCACGTCTCATAACCCAGAAACTTTATATCTCATATGAGACTTCAATACTGAAGTTGCTTTTCATATCCCGATATGACTACTAAACGGTTTTCTTGAATTCAGTCAACAGATTCTCAACGAATATGCATCTATGATTTCAAGTGTTTCTGTGGATTTAACTACATGTACTATACTCACACTGGCTTATCACCGCACTTTCGTGGACGTAGACGGATATAGCTAGGACAAGAAGCTAAAAGGTGCATATACAGTGGGATACCGTCTTACTTAGGAGACAGGAAGATCATTATAAGTCATACACAAGTTTTTCACCTTTTTTATTCCTTGACGTTCCCAGTGGAACATAAGGCTTTAAGCTAGAGGCTTGAAGTTTCTGTAGCAGTGGTGTTTACTTTTACGGGATGCGGTTGCTAGCCTCGTGCCCAACCTTTCCTCTTCACCAGCTTTTATTACTGGCTTAGTGAGGTACAGGAGTGCGTCGGCCGGGGATCGAACCCCGGAAAACGTGCATGGTCAGCGAGCGTCCTAACCGCTGTGCCACCGACGCACCACGGTATATTTCCAGGAATCCATTAGAAAAAACAAAACTGCAACTTGTTTCATTAGCGGGAGA